TGACCGTGATGTTGGTGATGATGATGCGGGCGATGGTAATGAGGACGATAACGATGATAATATCAGCATCACCATCCATATCACCACCAGCGCCAACACCACCACCACCACCAGAATCCTCATCAGCATGCTCAGCAGCAGCAGTAGCACCAGCATCAGCATCAGCATCATCCTCATCATCTAACCATCACCACCATCAGAATCGTCATCATCGTCATCGTCGTCGTTGTCATCGTCAAACTCATCATCATCCTCATAATCATCGTCGACGTCGTGATCACCATCATCATCACCATCAACATCCTCATTATCATCATTGCCACCGTCAGGTTCACAACAATTACAAGCAACAACAAACTTCGCCGACCGTGTCGGCGTGTGAAAAACGTGTCCCAGTCTCGTCATCTTGCGTGGGTCGTCGTCGCCATCGAAATCGTCACGTCGGCTCCAACAGGGGTGGTCGGCTCCGCTCGGGGAAGGAGAGCTGCCCACGACACGGCCACGCTGGCTGCAAGAGGGGGAGTGGTCGACTCTCCCCGGGCTAGGGGAGCGGCCGCGACCCGGGGGGGAAGCCAATTTGCCCCCCCCCGGACACGGAAGGGAAGCCAATCTGAGCAACGTCGCAGTTCACTCCATTGGAAAGCCCTTTTTCAATCCCTTCCCCCCGATGGGGACGGTCAAGTTAACCAACGCGAGCGAGCCAAAGGGCTCCGTCCACTCCCACCCGCCCTTCCTCAACATAAGAAACAGCTGCGTCGCGTCCGACGCCTGTCGATCATCTTATATAGCGGGCGGCTAGACGTTCAGCGCGCGACGCGAGCTGCGTCCTACTCCTGCCGCGTATTGAGCAACGTCGACGAGAAACAAGACCGCGCGCGATGTACGCCGCGCCCCGCTCCGGCCTCTCATGTTGCATCGTCGGCGACAACATGTCCAACGCGCGAAGTGCGCCGCGTCTCATTCCAGCCACGCGCGCTGCACCGCCAATCGTTTCGCTCCTGCCGCGCGCGTGGGAGGGGGAGGAGGAGGAGGAGGAGGAGGAGGAGGAGGAGGAGGAGGGGAGGGAGAGAGGGAAGGAGGGAGAAACTGAGGAGGAAGAAGAGAATGCCTCTTGGGAGTTCGCGGGGCGTCCTGGGAGTTTCCTGGTATACGCCTGAGGGCCTCTTGGATATATCTTCCGGGATGGAACATTGTCAACACAAGTACGCGCTGACCTTTGTGCGCTGCTTTTTGGCCCTCGGGGGGGGGCCTCTTTGCCACGGCTGGGGGGGTCCGGGGGTCGATATTGGTTTGATTTGTGCGCACCAAAGTTCACTGTTGCCAAAAGGTCTCTCCTACGTGGACACGACAACGGGCGCGCTGGCGGCGAACCGCACTTGCTTGAAGCATTATGAATTGCCGCCCGCCCAGCTCCTCAACCCGACGGGCCGCAGCGTCGACGACAAGAAAGTCCATGTTGACGAGCAGGCGTCCCCACGCGATGCGCGCCGCCTTCCATCCCCGCTACGCGATTCGCAGCGCCGACGAGGAGAAAGTACATGTTGGCAAGAAAAACGTCGACGTTGCGGTGCTTTTTGGCAGGTAGGACGGGGGGGCCCGCGCAGGGTTGGCCAGGCGTCCGCGCGCGATGCGCGCCGCGTCCCAGCCCTGCTACACTGTTCGCACCGCCGACGAGGAGAAAGTCCATGTCGACGAAAAAAAACGTTGACTTCCTATTGTTTTTGATGGGTAGGACGGGGGGTCCGCGTAGGGTTGGCCAGGCGTCCGCGCGCGATGTGCGCCGCGTCCCATTCCTGCTACACTGTCCGCAGCGTCGACGACAAAAAAATCCATGTTGCAGAGGAAGACGCTGACTTTGTATATTTTTTTGATGCGAAAGACGCGATCACCCGTTCAGGGTTACCCAAGCACTGCGCATTCCGTCTCATTTCTGCTACATTTTTCGCAGCGTCGACGACAAGAAAGTCCCTGTTGTCGAGAAAAACATTGACTGTGCATTGTTTTTCATATATAGACGGGGCGCGCCATAGGGTTACCCAAACGATGTTCATTATGTCATGTTGTTGCTGCATTTTTCGGCAACTCGACGACATGTTGGCGAGAAAATAATTTAATTCGAACTGTTGTTTACAATTGGGACGGCGGGGTTGCTATCGGCCAGCTGGGTGAAGGTTTGGGGGTGTTTAATCATAAGAAACAAGGATGGGGGGGGGGGGTCGCACCCGGATACGCGGGGGGGGGGGGCACCGAGGCGGTTCTTTTCGGGGGAGGGGAGCGGCCGGGACGCGGAGGGGAAACCAATCTGAGCAACGTGGTTTTTTACTCGAAAGGGGGGGTCCTGGGTCAGAATATCGCCCTCCCGGGGCCCATGGCCCGCCCTCTCCCTCCCACTTCCGTCGAAGGCCGGGGCCTCCAGGGTCGGCGGCACCGGCCGTAAGGCCTTAGCAACCATTATTTCCACAGTGATAATCAAATCATCGTCAACTTCAGCCGGAGTACCGCCACCATCATCAGCAGCGTCACCATCAGCATGGTCGTCGTCATCATCATCATCACCTCCTCTTCCTAATCACCATCATCACCACCACCACCACCAGAACCATCATCAACATCACCATCATAACCAGCATCCTCATTATTACCAACATCATCATCATCATCATCATCATCATCATCATCATCATCATCACCATCATCATCATCAACATCATCATCATCATCATCATCATCATCATCATAGTCATCGTCGCCGTCGTCGTCGTCATCGTCGTCATCACAATCCGTCTCGTCACAGTCAGCCGACCATTCGACGTGTGCGACGCTGTCGTCGTCTTCGTCGTCGCCAGTCCCAAAGAAGTGTTGAAACGAACACACAAGGGAAACGTCGTGGTCAAATCGATTCCCTCCCTAACCGAGGGGGGGCACAGGGGGTAGGTAGGGGGTAGGGGGGGGCAAGGGGGGGTCAAGTTAGCGAGCCCGAACAAACCAGAGGGCTCCGTCCACTCCCGCCCGCCCTCCCACAATATAAGAAGCAACTGCGTCGCGTCTGACGCCTGTCGCTCATCTTAAATCGTGGGCGGTTAAACGTTCAGCGCGCGACACGAGCTGCGTCCCATGCCTGCCACGTATTGAGCAACGCCGACGAGGAACAAGACCGCGCGCGATGTATTTACGCCTCGCGTTGCCAAAGGTTTCCCTTACGTGGACACAACAACGGGCGCGCCGGCGGCGAATTGCACTTGCATGACTTGCCGCCCGCCCAGCTCCTCAACCCGACGGGCCGCAGCGTCGACGACCAGAACGTCCACGTTGACGAGCAAGCGTCCCCACGCGATGTGCGCCGCGTCCCCATCCCGCTACGCGATTCGCAGCGCCGACGAAGAGAAAGTACATGTTGGCAAAAACAACGTCGACGTTGCGGTGCTTTTTGACAGGTAGGACGGGGGGTCCCGCGTAGGGTTGGCCAGGCGTCCGCGCGCGATGTGCGCAGCGTCCTATTCCTGCCAGAACTTTTCGCACCGAAGGCGACAAGAAAGTCCATGTTGACGAGAGAAAAACGTTGACTTCGCATGGTTTTTTGATGGGTAGGACGCGACCACCCGCTTGGGGTTACCCGGGCGATGTTCATTCCGTTCCATTCCTGCTACATTTTACGCAACTCGACGACATGTTGGCGACAAAAAATGAGTTTGAACGGCGGGGTGGCTATCGGCCGGCTAGGTGGGGATCTGGGGGTGTTTTATCATAGGAAGTAAGGATAGGGAGTGAAGGAGGGTCCTGGGTCAGATGACCGCCCCCACCTGGGGTCCCGGCGGCCCCCACCGAGGGTCCCTGTCCCCAATGTTGGAGAGGAGAACAGGGGGGGCGTCCCCCCATGTGGGGGCAGGGGGTCCTGGAGGGGGGGGTCCCGAAGGGTCCCGCCTGTGGTGGTCCTTGGTTGGAATACCGCCCCCCCTGCAGTCCAAGCGGGTCAAGGGGGGGCGCGCCAGCGGGGATCCGCAGGGAGATCCCGCCTTCGGGGTCGGCGGCACAGGCCGTAACGCCTTCACAACCATCATGATCATCATGATCATGATCAGCATCATCATCATCATCATCATCATCATCATCATCATCATCATCATCATCATCATCATCATCATCATCATCATCACCATCACCATCACCATCACCATCACCATCATCATCATCATCATCATCATCATCACCATCATCATCAGCATCAGCATCATCATCATCATCATCATCATCATCATCAGCATCAGCATCAGCATCAGCATCAGCATCATCAGCATCATCGTCGTCGTCGCCGTCGTCGTCGTTGTCATCATCATCATCATCAACATCATCAGCAGCAGCATCATCATCATCGTCGTCATCGTCGTCAGCATCATCATCATCAGCGTCAGCATCATCATCATAATCAACATCATCATTATAATCATCCGTATCATTGTCGTCATCATAACCATCAGCAGCAGCAGAAGCAGCCCATCATCGTCATCGTCATCATCATCATCATCATCATCATCATTATCATCATCAGCATCATCATCAGCATCAACATCTTCATCATCATCATGATCATCGTCATCGTCATCGTCATCGTGAGTCGTCATCGTCGACAGCATCATCTTCCTAATCATTGTCGTCATCACCATCAACAGCATCGTCGTCGTCATGATCATCATCATCATCATCATCATCATCATCATAATCAGAATCAGCATCATCACCCTCATCATCAACACTATCATTCACAGTATCATCAACATCAGCATCATCAGCATCATACTCACCATTGCCACCACCACCATCATTCATAGCAGTATCATGAAGATAGTAGTCGTCACTGTCGTCGTCGCCGTCATCGTCGTCATCATCCGCATCATCGTCCGTCCCATCATCATCAGCATCATCATCATCGTCATCATCGCCATCATCATCATCATCATCATCATCATCATCATCATCGTCATCATCATCATCATCATCATCAT